GTTGATGTAGTTGATACAGTATGACATGATATGGATATGATTGTTGAATGTATTGATGAAATTGATGACTTGATGACTCGATGACTGTGTGATAGTGATGTGTTCTTCCTGTGTCGCAGTGCTTGCTGCTGGTGAAACCGTTGTTGTCGTTGTTGCTGTCGCGGTGGTGGCGACGGTGGTTGTTGTTGCTGTTGCTGCTGTTGCTGCTGATCTCGTCGTTCATGAATGTGCTTGTTCCTGTTGTTGTCGCTGTGGTGTTGCTGGTGTTATTGTGGTTTGTTGCAGTTGGTGTTGGTGCTGTTGTTGCTGGCAGTGTTGTCGTTGTTGTTGCTGTTGTTGTTGTTGTTGTTGTCGTTGGTGTTGTTGCATTGCATTGGTAAGTGATTGGTGACTCCTTTCGACTGAAATATCTTAACTGAATAACTGACTTAATAACTTGATAACTGAATAACTGTGAATGAACTATCTGCAAGCCCACTGCAGTTGGCCGTTCGTTGGCTGGAGATGCTGTCGAGATGCAACTGCATGATTGTGCACCTACACACACGGGACCGGGACCTAAGACGCCTAAGACTAAGACTACTCTACTGGCTCGGGTTTTCGGAGCCAAGCAAATCGCAACACGAATCTTTGATTCGTTGCTTCGTCACGGTAGAACACGTGACACCACATCGTGACTTGCAAGGAGCATGTCATGAAGCCAGAACATCAGAACATGGTAACATGGACTGCTATGCTGCTACACTGCATGACCGCACCTCTCGCACATGCAAATCCTTCAAAGTACTGTGATGACTGTGCTAGAAAGACCCGCGAGCGATTGGCTGGATGACGTGCCCCACGCGTCACTTCAACAAAAATGCAACGTCCTTGCACTCTTTGTTTGTTTTGCTGAAGCCATCGCCGAGAATGCTTGCCGCCGATTCCGATTTTGGCTTGCCCTGCTTCTGATTTGCCATCGCTTGAGCAACAGCTGCACCCCCCAATGATGGCCCCGACGTGGAAGGGCCTCGGCTTGATCTGCCTTTTGTTGCAGCGGCTGCTTTCTCTTCGTCGAAGAGCGATCTCGTCAATGTCAACCGAGTACCAGGGTAGGATTCCTCCTTCTCCTTTTTGAGAGCCTCCTATATACAGAGGCTGCAAATTTGTACGGACTCCGCACTGCAAGCACGCAGCCAAGCAACAAAGATCACCAGCTACCACCTACGACCTACAACGCATGCCGATGCCGATGCCTGAACACGCTGCATGTTCGCCGGGTCCGCTCGGAGATAATGATAGTGCATGTCGACATCAATCTCTGCTCCACTCCTGCAGATATCTGTTTGCGGAGTTCATGAGTTTGCCCTAATTAAGAGCAAAGCTAACAACCATTATGCAGCAAATGCACGCGACGTTGAATTTCACCATCTTGGATTCGACAGATGTCACCAGTAGAGGCGGTGTCTTTGAGTCATCAGGAAGACCTTTAATCATCCATCCCACGCATGGGGCCGCAGCACTCGGCTTGTCGAAGTTTGCGGAGCTCAGGCAAAACTGCACATCTTGTCCTCCTAGATTAGCCGATGCCACCTCGCAAGAAGCCGCACACACACACACACATTCAATGTCAGGCAGCAAGGAATTCTCAATTGAGTAGCCATGCAGTCATGCAGCACACAAGCAGCATGTCTGGGCTGCGAAGTGAAACGTCAGGTGAAACACACATGTCATGCCATGCAGACTGCAGACGCAATTACATAAGTAAATAATAAACTGAGTATCTTATGCAAGAGATTAAATTTTCCGTGTGCAAGACACCAGGAGGTGCGAGTGCTTTGGACCTGCGTCCAAAACCACTTGACCGAAGAATGTAATGACAAAGTCAACGCCCATTTCGCTGATGTCAGCCGTCACTGCATTCTTGGCTCCCTGTGCATAGTTCATGTAGAGACAATCCATGCTCTTCCGAGCAGCCTCGCCAGACAGCCTCAGAGCAAATGGGTGATTAATCAGATGATCACTCAGACTAGTGACTAGTCTGTACATCATGCCGTCACACCATGTCACGAACTTGTCCACATCCAATCTAAGTGCTGCACGCTTTCGCGTACAAGTGAGACGATATCTGTGACTGAAGACTCATCACGTCAAGCACGTTCCACTTCGCGTCACTTGCCTCGTGGAACACGTATACGTTGCTCAAGCACTGATCCTCGGCCACCGCACCACTGACATTGCCGTTGCCTGACCCGTTGCTTGGCAACGCAGGTGTGCCCCTCGAGCCACCAGGGCTCAATACCTCCGTCTTCACACCATCTCCAAGCAAATAACGAAACTTGCTTGGCACATCCAAGCCGAGCTCTTGCATTGAGATCGTGTTCATCATGACCTTCACCTCATCATCCGTCCCTTGGTCGAGTAGAGACAAACACTTGCTCAAGAGCTTGGTCCATGCTGTTGCCCATTCGCTCTCATCCACCATGATTGTTGTCAACAGTGCCTCAAGCTTGGCAACTGTCGTGATTGTCCCTGTGGCGTTCCCAACATTTTCGGGAGCGCCGGGATCGACATGTGGTGCCAGCATGTTGCACACCTTCTCCAGCTTGGCAGCTGCGAAGTCTGTGAATTTACATGGCTCCTTGTTTCCAGCACCGCCACGAGCCACTGTCTGCAAGGCACTCTGCAACATCTTGAGTAGGTACACAGCCCGCATGCGGATCAACACCTCCAACGCTGTGTTGTTCGGCACCCAAACGGGTTCATTCACATTCGCAATGGTCTCTTGCTTGCAAAGGAAGTGACAATACTGTGGCACAGATGTACCTGAAGCTGCAAGCGATGCATGGTCCGAGAACTTCACAGTCAATGCGAGTGAGAAGGTAGGGACAGCAGAAGGTATGTGCTCGTAGATGGCATCTGATGCAAACCAGATCACGTCGGATAGGCTCATTGACGCATGTGTATGAATGGGGCATATCGTGGTGTCCTTTTTGCACCTGCAAAGCCGAGCCACCAGCTTCGACCTCGCTGCTGAGAAAGCGGGGCCATTGAAGGCCTGGCTGGAGCAGTTGGAGCTCACCCAAGTCCGCGTGACTTGTGCTGAGCCTTCCGTCATGAACATGTTGATGTTCTTCTCCCCTGCTGACGTTGAGCCGGTTGTCAAGGCATCCTTCGCTAGACTCTGCGTCAGGCTCTCAAGTCCAGAGTCCGTGGAGCTAGGCAATGCCGCCCGGCTTCGGGCCAATCCCTTGTGGATGATGTCCTGTAGAAGTGGGCGGACTTGAGACCATACCTTCTTCGGCTTCATGTTCACAATGACCTTACCATGAAAAGCGAATTCGATGCCCAGGCCAATGGCTTGCCGCAAGGCCATGCGGTTGCCGGGGTCCATGAGTGTGTCAACGTCTCCTGCAATGCACTGTGTTGGCAGTGATATCCTAGCCATGCAGCTTCAGCAATGCACAGAGGTGAAACACAAATGCAACAAAAAAGCAACAACTCGCAAGGTCACTTGGTGAGACGTCTCACACATGTCATGTCACATGTCACACTGTCGCACGAGAGCCTGCCGCGTGGATGAGCGCAGACAGCAAGTCATCAATCCACCAACGTCTCCTGGTACACCCGCTGCCCTCATCCACGTCTGCAAGAAGTTGATCCACATCCTCTGCGTCTTCATCAGTGGCACGATTCTTTGCTGCTTTTCCCTTTGCTTTTGGTTTTGATGTGGCTCGCTTCCGCTTCTTGGGAGCGAGCAATTCACTGACGTCGAGTGCGGTTCCATCCGAACTCGCTTGAGCACGGGCACTAGCCGGCGGCTTGAAGAGCTTGCCCGCGAAGGATGCCCCCCCTATTTCGGTTCGGAGACGATCTACGATCCCCGGCACGTGTTTTGTAAGTGTCCATTCAGGCATCGGCATGTCGTAGTCACCACCCGATCCACTCGGTGCGTCCCGTATGATGGGCACCTCTGCACAGTTTGTTCGGGGAACGCCCTGCTCACACCAACACAAAGAAACAATCGGGGAACGGCCTGCTCACACCAACAAAAAGAAACAGTATGGCACGCAGTACGCAGTGCCAGCTGAGCTCCCTGCTAGGTAACGACTCCCCACAATGAAAACCTCTGCCAAGAGTTCAAGGCTGTAGGCAGCGGACAAAGTTAAAATCAGCTTGCCAAGCACGTGCAGGTTCTGCATTGTTGGTAGCGTCTGCAACTGTTCGTGTTGAAAGTCACAATGATCGCCGAGAGCTTCAGTGAATTTGTTCACGCAGTCCAGATCGCTCAAGTAATGCATGACCCTCTTGGCAAGATCAAAGATCTGGAAAGTCTTGAACCTCTGCGAAAAGTTTTCTGTCACCCACTCCGAGTAGGACTTCTGGTAGTGTGCCGCACTGGACGTGGTGATGCCCTGCCGCTGTGCGTGCCGCTTCCATGCCTGCACTTGCACATGACACACCAAACATGTCAGTAGCCCGTGCCTGTGGTGAGACGGTGAGACTGGTGTGAGACTGATAACAATCGCCTCCTCCACATCTTTTGATCCAAGGATGGATTCCAACCATGTGGGAGCCAAACCGCCATGGAAGCAGTTGTGCAGGTCGCGTAGATACCTTGCATATGGGAGGGGCAAAACCGACATCATGTCAAATGTTTCGAACACTTTGCATGTGATCAGTCAGGAGAAGAGAATGAAGAGTCACTCAAGAGGCATGTGACATGTAATCGTGACCATGCACATGCACTGGGCTCCACACGCAGCAACGTCATTGGGCATACGCTTGCTGAAAACTCTGCAATCAGGAAGGCCCTGTTCGATAGTGGCAATGACTCGGGAATTCTTTGGCTGCTCTGCATGTGCAATATACAGCGCCTCGCACCTCAACGTGGATCGGCAACATGGGTATGAGTTGTCTGAGAGTCATGGCCCAGTGATGACTTGCTGCACTGCATGCATGTTGTCATGAGTTGTCGTGCCAAGCAACAATGTTCCGCAGGACAACGCGTAGTATGTGCCGGTGAGTTCGTCAAACGTCATCCACGGTTCTCCCCGGACGGACTGTATGATGCCGGATTCAAAGATTCTTTTGACGTAGCCACGCACAGCCGAGCCTGTTTTTCTTTGATTAAGAGGATGTCTCTGAACGGCTGGCGTCTTCCCATCCTCTTTGAACCACTTGATGGTGCGCCGTGGCCCGTCCTTGTGGCGCACCCACGGTGCACCGATGAGTTTGTGAAACCGCCGCAACGACAGCAACTAAAAAAAACAAAACAATGAGACACAACATGTGACTGCAACAGCATGAACGTCCTGGTAAACCTCGAAAATCTTGGTCAGCAAACATATGCCCTGCTCGGAGTTGAAGCGCTCCGCAACCTCCATGGACTGACCGAACAGCACCTCGTGTGCCCTCTTGTACCTCGGCTTCACGGGGGCATGCGGCCTGTGACGTGCTCTACTTGTGCGTGGTAGTCCCAGCCATGTTTTTTCCTAAGGCCGATACGATGCATCCTTTGACAGTGTCCTTTCAGCATCTGCCATGGAGTTGTCTGCAAGCTCACCAAAGGATGATGACCTGGCTTTCCTTGCATGCAACGGCCATGTGGCACACGGATCACGGACGCATGTGTCAAGTTTTCCTGGATAGACTCTCAGTCACGACATGGTGACGGTGAAACATTGAATCATAATGTTGGCTCACCCCTCATCGCCACTGGAGTCGTAACCGTAGCCAACTGTAGTACACACTCCAGCGAGATCGAAAGCAATCTGTGTTAAGCACAGGCACGATGGCAGGGACATGGCAGTGTCGCAGGTGTCGCTAGTGGGGTTGGACACTCTGCCGAGCGGCGCAGCAAACTACGGCTGTGAGACCTCACAAATCTCAGCACAAGTAAGAGACCAAATGGCTCCGGTGAACAAATCATCCTCTCGAAGCTGCACATGCACTGCACATGTGTGTGTGTCGCACCACCTCACTTCAGCACCACAACAACTTGGGAGGACTGAGGAATGCTGAGACCAACAACCAACAACGTCATTTTGCAAACACGCAGCTCTTGTTTGGAATGCCACAGTCGCAACTTGGGCTGTGAGAAAGATCCTGACAACGCCCTCACAATCCAAAGTACCGCCGCGTTGCCTGCAGCGCGTAGTTAGGTTCAAGCTTCTGACGAGTCTGACAAGTTCAGTGCTCAGAACTCTGCCACGCAACATGTAGGCACGAGACAGCATGTTGTTTGATGATGTCGCCCGACCACAGCTGTTTCGGGCTGTGTGACAATGCCGGACGAATTTCGGTTCGCTGCCACACTGGTTCGACGCAGCTGAGACACCGTACCATGAAATGAAACAAGACTGACTCTAGACTCTAGACTCTAGACTCTACTCTGCGTTGATCATTACATTACGCTCGACCGGGCTGAAATTCAATAATACGACGGCTATGCCGGGCTCAGCTACGTTGTATCTTACCAGTCGTAGCTTCGCAACCAACACCCCGACTACACCCCTTCCTGTGAAACAAGGGCATACACTGACTACGCAGAATATTGCATTCTGCGCGATGCCATCCATGTGCAAGTGCAGTGGCTTTCATTCAAAGTTCACGGCCAGTTCACGGCCTTCGGCCCGGACCAGCAACTAAGGATGCAATTGCAGTCAAGCTGCTGGACAGATAAGATGCAGGCACATACTTGTGACACAAGGACTCGTGAATGCCGTGAGATCTAAGCTGACTCAATGGCATAGCACCGTGAGTGATCACATAAAGCATGACTGATGCAATGCATTGGATATGCATCGCATTCCCTGCCATGCCTATTTTAGCTGTGCGAGAAACACTGCTCCCTACACGACAGGGCCTACCGGACTTGTTGTCATCAACATGCACTTCGTCCAACGAAAACGACGACATAGCAACTCCATGTGAGAGCATTGGATAAATCGGAAATCCCTGCATGATGAATGCCTCACATGGTGTGACCCAGCGTCTGTGCACGTCACTGTAGATAATGCCTGCGTTCTTGATGAGTGTGCGCATACAGCCCCATGTGGAGTAATTGGCAAAGTCGCGGGGATCTTGACCCAAACTGTAACAACGATCTCGACAAAGAGCCTCATAACCATGGAGAAACCTTTTCTCCATAGCTGATAGACTGTTTTTGAACGTATCAGACTCATCTCCTTCTTCACTCTCGAGCGCAGCATTTGACGTAGGACGGTTGCCGGCCCAAAGCAGTTCGGAACGCAGCTCCTCACCTGAAGCCACAAAGAAGATATCCCACGGTGGAACTGTGCCGTCAGCAGCGACCTTCGCGTCACAGCCGATTGCACGGATGAAGTCATCCAGCCGCATGTGCCATGGCACTGTCTTTGTTTTGTGTCGCCCCACCACATACTTGCGACGCCTTGCTACCGGCCAGCCGAACGTGCATTCTGGGTCTAGCACACATGATTGCAGCTCGTAGAGGTCCGACAACATAGACGAGAGAAACTCATCAGGAAATGATTGAACGTTTTCCTGGACAAAGAAGGGCTCCTGAATCTCCCTTCTCATTGCAACGAACGCTAACAGCGATGTTGTTGTTTTGCCGTCAAGCTGGTCTTGTTGTCCGCGTGAACTAAAGTCTACGCATGGCGTGCCTCCAACGTGGAGGTCTGCCTCGCTGACTTTGCAGTTGCGGCTGCACTTCTCACAGTATGCTATCCTGCCAGTACACACCGTCGTCTGCACAAGGTCCTTTAGCATCGTCATGATCCTGCGCTCACGGCTAATGGTGTCCAGTTTGTCTGCAATGGTGGGAAGCCAAAAGGCATTAATGTCACTGAAGATGCAGCCGGGGCCAAACGGATGTCGACGGAGCTCTTGCTGAGACTGCGGGAGCCATTCGATGCCAAACTTGTTGCACGCCTTGGGCACTGAATCCTTGGTGACCTCGCGGCCCTGCATTTTGAGAGCTGCTGCACCCATCATGGCAAGCGCAGTTGACGGTGAATCCACGCCCGAGAACGACGTACTCAGGGACATGGAGCTCAACACTGTCACCAGATACTCAGCGTACTCGGCGTGCTCCGCAGCAGATACACATGGCAAGGATGCAACACTCCGCAGCATGTCTTCCGGCCATGCGAAGAGCGTGTCACGCAACACTTCGAGCTTGGCGTGCCGACCCACCAGCCAACGATCAAGCACCTGACTCGCAGGTGCAGCCGAAGCATCCGGTGGCATAGATGAAGCTTCCGAGGACACTACCTCGCAGACATGTGCATCATTGTGAGTGAGACTGTCGCCACGATTTGAACAATCGGCAAGAGCACTGGAAGCATTGGCCATGTCATCCGGCGGACCAACAATCCCATCATCAAGAGTCTCAGGAGCAGAAGCATCCGAAGCAGCTGGTGCTGTAGAAAAAGGCTTCAGAAGACTTCGTCTTGTCATCGGGCGTTGCTACATGCGGTCCACTGACATGTGTCGCTGGTGTCTCCTGATGATTGGTATCATATGTATCCTGATGATCGTGACTCTCGCCACGAGCCTCATGATCGACCAGCTGAGCATCAAGCGCATGAAGATCAGATACATCCGAAGCATGGGGTCTTGCAGACGAAGCTGAAGCTTCTGAAGACACCATCACAGCGTCTGGCATATCCACATGTGGCTCAGAGACATGCGTCTCGGGATGGCTGGGATTGTCATCAGGAGTTCGGCGGCATTTGGCAAGAAACTCTGCCACGCCTTCTGTAGTCAGGACACCCATGCGAGGATCTTTCTTGCTAGCCCGTTTGGTAGGCGAGCTCTTGCTCCTTTTTGCTGGGCTTCCTTTTGCAGGCGAGCTCTTGCTCCTTTTTGCTGGGCTTCCTTTTGCAACCTTTGGCGACCTCGCGCCAGATCTAGGCGAAGACGCGGAGGCCGAAGCTTGTCTCTTTTTGGGTGCTGCCTTCACTGCTGTAGACTTGGCCTTTGTTTTCGGTGGCATCGAAAAGTTCACGTAGCAGTACTCAGTAGAACCATTCGCATGTACGGCTTGCTAAGTTGACTCGTGACTCGTGAGCACATTGAAAATCGTGCTAGCCGCTAGCCTCTTATCACTGCACATTGTTTACAGAAACTTAGCAAAAACATAGCATGCTACATGTATGTGAAACCGATTGTGATTAAATGTGAAAAGGTGAAACGATGAGTCACACGATGTGCTACCGTGAGCCAGTGAAATGCTAAGAACGTTGCATGTTTGTCCGATGCAAGTGCACTGCTGCAAGCATGATCCGGAACCAGTGAAACA